TACATATTTCTTAGCAATCTAATTCTAACTCTAAGTAGTAACTCAAGAATCTAATCTTCAAGTAATGCGATCGAAATCCATTCCTTCTCGGTTAGATTCTGCTCACTTCTTCCCTTAAGCGTCCTTTTCTTTTCTTCGATCCTACAAAACATCAATTGTAATCTTATCACATTATGTATTAAGAATCTAGAATAGAAGCTCAAAAGAGTTAGTCAATGGATTTTACCTATATTAGAGCCATACGTTTCGACTCTCCCATCTCTTAGATCTCTTAGGTAAATGGGGTAGCTTCGTCTCCAATGTCCCTTCTCTTGGCAATAAAAACAAATTGACTCTTTTGGAACATGACATGGAACTACTTCAGATATTGCCTTTCTCTTATGATCAAACCTTTCGATCATAGCATGTCTTTCGTTGCCATCGTCTATATCCATAGAGGTCTTGAAGGCAGATTCACCAATCAACTTTGCTTTTCTATTGTGCCAAACCATTGCTGATTCAGCAGCAATAAGCATATAGGTGAGATCTATAAGGGTCACGTCGCGGTTCATCATATAGTACTCTCGTATGAACTCACTATATGAGTTAGGAAGTGACTGAAGAACCCAATCAACAACCAATTCCTCACAGACAACGGATCCCAACATTCTTAACCTATCAATGTGTGACTTCATCCCTAGGACGTGTGCACACACCGGCTTTCCTTCTTTATGTTTACTTGCCAAAAGGGCTTGAGTGATCTTGAACTTTTCAAGCCTTTGAACTTGTGGGTTAGGGAGAATAATTTGAGGATGAGGAGGAAGTGAAGTATGATCTCTTGTTCCTCGATCGAATCGTGGAATATCATCTTCATGTGGAAAGCTTGTTCCACCGGATTTGGGAAGACCATAGTTGTCAAACTTTGACATCTACAAAACGGGAGAAAACGAATTCAAGTTAGTCGATTGAATGAGTCCTTAGCAAATCACCCAAATGAGATACTAAGGCTAGGACCCAACACAATATTCTACAACTCGGGAGAGGGATGTCGTAACCCTAATTGCAGAATATTTGAAGGTAAGTGAATGACGATTCACTAATTTCCACCATGAAAAACGAAAAAGAAATTTTAAGTTTTAAATCTATGAAAACTCCTAGATCCTTTGAGATTCATTGAGCTTTCAATGGCATGTTTAAATCTTGATATGCCCCTCTTGTTTGTGACTGGGATGCCGAGGATCACAAAGCGGGTGTGAATAACCATGCAAACTTACATGGTGCCCTCACATGTTACAGTCACCTATTCGATGTGCTGGTAAACCACACACGCTCCACCGAACTATGACAAACATTGAGTCACCCTTTGCTACCTTTGCTTAGAACCATTTAGTGTGCCTATTAACCACACACGCTCCACTAACATCTTCGCAAGGGCACAAAGTGTAATTTCATGGAATTGCATCAATTCACTTTTTCCTAAGTAACTAAGATTGGGAATTTTTTAAAACATTTAGTTACTTTTGTACTTTATTATACTTATAATGAAAGGTTTCGTCCTATCCTACCCGTCCGGCTAACGACCCTCCACTAGTCAAGAGTGCGGTGGGTAAGAGTGGATACCCATTCAATTGCCATTTATAGGCAATTTTCTTAAACACCCCTTATAGACCAGCTTCGTGAATGAGGCCTACTAACAGTAAGACTGAGTTTTACTCATACATATATATAATGTTAGACTTTTAATGTTATATATAGTATAGGTTGTATTTTATACTTTCAAAATACTAGGAGGTCTAATTTAACAATTATACTTTTAATTCAATTAAACTGTAAACCTAAACTTTTATGAATTTATTAAACATCTTTTAATTATACACCTTAATTAATTAATAAAACCATAAGGGTGTGATTTGAACTTTTTCAAAACAATACTAGAGTTTTAGAATTTAACATTCCTAATTAAACTTTTAATCAACTTTTAAATTCCAAAACTTGAGGGAAAGTTTTGAAACATTTCAACACATTAGGGTTTAGAATTTAAATATACATCAAAATTAAACCATTTAATCAAAATTCCAAAACTTGAGGGCAAGTTTTGAAACCTTTTTCAAAACATTAGGGTTTTAACTATTTAAATTTCAAAAACAACAAAACTTTTGGGTTCAAATTTAAACTATAAAACCTAAAGGGGAAAATATGAAACTTTTCAAAGCACAAGGATCAAATAACAAATAATCTAAATTAACATTTAATTACATAATTATCCATATTTGATTTATTTAATGATTTTTTGCAAAACAATTTACCAATTAAGTCAAAATAATTAAACAATTATCACATAAAGAAACAATTATCTTATTAATTGATAAATATCTTCAATTAGATCAAGAATATAGTCAAATATATCATAAAATCGGATTTATATTGATCTAACATGATAAGGTAACTATCCATAATCAAAAACAGCAAGAAATCGCGAAAATATCCCCATCTGACGAGTTGACTCGTCGAGTCAGGCTTGGACTCGTCGAGTCTGCATGGACTCGGCGAGTTCAGCTATGGACTCGGCGACTCCAGCCTCCAGAACACCAAAAATCGAATTTTTCAGATATATACAATGCATCAATACAATTAAAACCAGTCTAGTCTCTGATACCAGTGATGGGTTTTGGTCATAAGACATCCTATGTGCTCATACAAACCCTAATGCTTGGATCTAGGTTTCTCTATTGTACATGCTTTGAATCCAAGACTCTAAACCCTAATTCTAGCATATGGAAATCGATATTAACATATAATTAGGTTTATGATATTACCTTGATTGTTATGTAGCAATAACAATCCCAATTCCTCCTTGAATTGACTTTGGAAGGCTTAGAGTCACAAGTGTCACTCCTCTAATGGTTCACAAACACCATAAGCAAGAGGATGAAGAGGAGAGTGGATGGAGGCTGCCCAAAAACATGTGAAACCCTAGCAAGAAGCTTAGCCACGTTTTTGGTCCTTAAGGGATCTATATATAGTGAGGCAATTAGGGTTATCTAACAAAGAAACCCTAATTTGGTTGCTTAAGCCCTAAGCAACCCATGGACTCATTTAATCAAGCCCTTGGACGATTTTCTTATGAGTTTCCCATTAGAATTCGTCCACCCCTTGATTCAAGACAATCCATGGCCCAAATTGCAATTATCTTATAATTACAATTCCAGTCCCTTAAGTTTAATTAATCTCTTTTAATCACAAAACTAATTATCAATTAATTATTGACTAATATTAATTAAACAATATGATTTCTCCTTTAATATATTATTCTCATAATATATTAATAAATCATATTTAATCCTTTCTCTCCATAATTCATCCTATCAAGTTGCTTTGGTGAAGGCAACCCAAAAGGACCATGCACCATCGGGTCAAGTACATACCAAAATAGTTATTGACTTAGACACTAATCCAACAAAATCATTGTTTCAAAAATCGTTGCCTCAAAATTTTTTAGTTTCAGAAATGAGATATTATTTTTGAGCATTCAAAATGTAACATTTCATATCTTTTTTGTAGCATCTACACACATATAACACTAATTTGATTAAAATTGTCCAAACATATATACCATGTGCAACTATAAAGAAATGACTCTCGCAGTTAAATCATGTTTCATTTCTTGACTTGATATATCTATAAGCCATCAGCCAGGTGCTCATTGCTTGTTCATAAAATACTCAATCGTGAGGTATTGCTTGATCCACCACTGCCTAACCAACCATTCTTATTTAGGGTAAATAGTTAGGGCTGTTTATTATTCGGATAAAACCGAATTGTCCAATTAGACAATTTGGATTGGACTAGAATTTTTGAATTGGTTTTTAGCAAAACCGAATTATTACTTTGGATTTCAGATTGGTTTTGGTTTATAAAATAAAAACCGAATAATCCAAAAAACCGAATAACTATTTATCATTTGTTTATTTATATACATTGTTTATTTTTAATATACTTCTTTTAATTATTTTTTAAGTGTAAATTGTTTTTTTAAATAGATTTGTATGTATTACCCAATAAAAAACCTAAATATGTACTTCTCAAATGTTTTTATCTATAGAATATTAAATAATAACACATTTTTCTTAACGGTTGTTCATAAATTTTAATTCACAACTAAACAATTTATTTTTGTTTAAAGTCGTCTAACATTCAAGTTTTATAAGTTTTAAATGTTACGCCTCTTGAAAACAGAATCGTAAAAACCGATCCAACCGAATTGCAATTTGGTTGGTTCGGATCGGATTTGAATTTAGTTTGGATTGTTCAGATCCATGTTTTGAAAACCAAAATACATTTGGATTCACTTGATTGGATCGGATTGAACTGATCTATCCAAACGAAGACTCCTATAAATAGCCATGAACTCATATACGGTTAGCAATTTTATTTTTCATTTATTTATTTATTTATTTTGTATTTGGAGTGCTAGCAACATATTATTAAACTCTATATATCAAACTAAATATTGTAATTTTATAAATAAAGAAAACATTTGCGTTTTTCTTGTATTCATCTTATGTATTGTTTATATTTTCCTTCTTTGGAAATTTCTGATATATTAGTATATTACCATATAATAATTCAAAAGCGCACGCTAGTGAGTCATCTTGTTGGACTTTCTCGTAATCCAATAGACCCAATTCCCAAATAAAACACCGAAAATATCCCCCAACAATTTATACCCTTTGGAAGATAACAGCTAAATACAAGAAATAGCATCTTGCTTTCATTATTTCCTATTATCGTATTGTACTTTGAAAAACCTATCAATTAGAACAATGTAATTTAAGTACAAAGCAATTTTCATTGTTATAAGAAGCCCTTTGGTACACAAACATGATACTACTTACAATGAAACGATTTGCTTTTTTTTAATCAAAAAACCATAGTAAACAAGAAAAAAAGACGTACTATATAAATAATATATTATATCATCCGTCAAGTAGAAGAAACAATTAAAAAGAAATTCATAATCCATTTGTGAAAAAAAAAAAAAAAAAACAGCAATTGCAGCATCTATACTTTTGAATTAATGGATATGAAATCTATTACTACTACTACTACGTTTCAATTCATGTTGTACTCATCACCTTGGGTATGGGCTTGCATATATGATTGGTAGTTCCCTGGAACTGGAACTTCCATCTTTCCAATTATTCGGTCCATTCCTGCATTAACGCATGTACCATCTGCTAAAAATGTTGTACATTTCATCGTATCATATAAACTATAACTAGTTATTCATATTACCTTCCATTTCATATTTTACACATACCTAAATACCTAATAATGTAGATTGTAGCTCAATAAATTATTAATAAATTAAAAATGGAAAAACGAATTCTTACTTGGATTAGCTAACATGGTTCCATAATACGACATCTGTCCCACATGATTCGCAGCAGCTTTTGAGGTGGCATCAGAAGGAAAAACAGGCTCCACTTTCTTCGATCGTTGATCCACAGAGCTACTCACATTTGGATTATTCTGAAAGCACATGTTCATGTTATCATCCGCCGTCGACGCCGAATGCTGCTGCTGCTGCTGCTGTGGTTTAGGGGACTCGACTTCCGTTTCCACTTCAGATTCGCCATTGTTATTGTTAGGTGCAGACGAGACCTGTTGCTTCCTCTTTGATCGAGCTCGTCTGTTTTGAAACCAATTATAGACATTTGTTTCAGAGATCTGTCCATGTTGCGATAATTCGGATGTGATTTCTTTGATTTTCTGTTTGCTTGGGGTTCCGTTTCCTTGCTCAAATAGACGTTCCAGGATCTGAAGTTGCACCGGTGTTGGTGTCCACCGCTGTCTGCCGGAGAATTTGTGGCCACCGGATGTCACTAGTGGATCGTTGTATAAGTTCCCAAGTCTAACTCCTGCAATGTTTGTGTGTATTGTAGGATTCTATTTTAATATTTAATATGCCGAATTAAATGCAAGAAATAGCCATATATTTTTATCATCGAGTTAAGCCAATTTTTTCCCTAATCCAATCTATGTTAGATAAACAATTTGGACTTGATGCAAACAAATTTAAAATTGCACATAACATAAAAGAAAAAACTTTAAACCTAGTTAGAAACTCAAATAATTGATTTAAAAAAAAAAAAAAGGTACAACTTAATTGCAGATGATCCGACCTATTTTCGCAAATGCCCACAATGGTGGTTCCCAAAACTTGACTTTAAATAAAAATCTATTTTTTTTAGCAAATGTGATTTGGGAAAATCTATGTTTTATCTGCGCAAATAAAAAAAAAAACATTTTTTAATGTGAAAAACCATACATCATTCCCACAACAAACAAAAGCTTAAAATTGTAGTTTTGATATGTGAAAATGACAAAAAAAAAATCACCATTTTTCAGATGATTTCCCATATGAGGATTTTGTAGATGACATTTAAGAAATCCTCTTAAAAATGGTGAGAAATCCTTTATTTATTTAATCAAATTGAATGGGCTGACTCGATTAATTAAACTGACTGAAAATATGCTAATTCTCGATTGGTATATATATTTCAAAATACAATGTTGTATCAGGAAAAATAAAAATAAAATATTGTAGTAAAACAAATCAACGAAAGTACAATATTGTTTCTAGCATTTAACCAGTATCCACACATCTAAAGAAAAAACAGAATTAGGAAATATACATATCTCACATATATATAGGTGTCAAATACATTACTTTGTTTTAATTTTAAAAAGTTAGATATGTTCATCATTCTAATACGCTTTAGCTTTTTTGCCTAGGGATTATCATAATGCTAATTTGCTTATGATGCCATGACTTTCATGATTTATATCTCAACAATATTAAAAAAAAACTGCAAAATAACCCCCAAAAAAACAAGAACACTTCAATTGCCAGAAGTTCAAAGTGGTCAGATACAATGTCTTAATGTTTTCCATATAAGCAAAATATATATATAAACAATTAAGCAGCCAATAGAAGAAAATAAACAGAATGCCCTGTGGAAAATTCAAAGAATCAAAATAAACTACAAATCAAAATTACATTTTCTAGATTCATACGTAAGCAGAAAGAACAAAGCACAAATGGGAGAAGATTTAGGAAGAATCAGAGTACCCAAGTTAAGAAGTTAAGGCAATCAAACAGATATTGAAATACCCATTACATTTTCACGAAAACCCACCAAAATCAAAGCATCAATTGTAAAAATTATGAAGTAAATATCACTCCATCATAATTCAAGCTAGTAGGTAACAAGGAATGAAGTGTTGCAACGAAAATTATAGACGATCTAATTTGCCTCGTAAAAAGTTTCAAATAATAATCAAAATCCTGAATCCTTTCCATGAAAATTAAAGAGGAGTAATCACGTAAAATAATCAAAATAAATAGAGAATCAACTCTTTTAGAACACGGAAACAGAGACAAACCTGAGAGATCGTGATGGGAAGTAAGCGATTTGTGCAAATCAACAAGCTGTTCGCAAATAGTAGCGTAAATCGCGATTTGTTTGCGAAGAACTTCCATCTGTTCATCGGTCATTACTTTGACAAACATCCCTCCTCCATTAGTATTGTTCCCTTCATCTTGTTCCATGATTCCTGTGTTGTTGTGTTGTTTTTGCCCTATTTCAATTCTCAGATTTCACCATTACCCAATTCAATTTTGGTCTCTCTCTCTCTAGAAATTCAAGTGATAGGAACAGAGAGAGTCAGCAGCAGTGGAGTAGAAGTTGAAGATTAAAGTATGGAGGAAAAGTGAAGAAAAAGAAAATGGCGGACAATAAAGACAAAGACGTATATTGGCCCTGACCTTGGTGATGTGGGGGCATGTGCGTATTTTAGCGTAATCAACTATTTCTTTCCTTTATTTACCTTTGTTACTTTGTTTTTTCTTCGCCTCTTAACAGATTATACGGTCTAAATAAAAAATAGACAAAATTACATAAATGGTCCTTGTGCTCATTAGAAAATTGCAGTGTATGTCCTTAACAACGTTTTCTCTACCAGAGGTCCTTTTTGAGTCAAAAGATTCTACTAGCGGTCCTTTTCACTGACAAGGTTAATTTTCATCCGTCAATTCTTAAAACGAACCCTTAACGTGAGGGAAAATTGTCATTTCCTGTTTTCCCTCTCTTCTTTGTACAATGTTCAGTTGCCAACTAGATTCACCAACATATTCAGATGGTACACTTGACTGCCCTACATTTTGTGTATCCAAAATCAAGCCCATCAAATAGATCAAGTTCCTCCAACTCCTCTACCAATAGGATCCTCTATAAAGTCTATTCTTTGGTATGTGCACTTTCCTCTATATTATGTCCTCTAAATGGTACCTCAGATGCATCAAGGAAAGTTATGCCTTCATTGTTTATATGTTGTATTGATCGGGACTGTGTTGGTTGGGATTTCCCTTCAACATGTCCATAGGGGACAATGGACAAATCCTGGTTATTAAGTTCTAATCTCTACTATAAGACCATGTTTCTCTTCTAGAAACTCTTATCGTATTCAATGTTGGTTAAACATGGTCATCCTTAATTTGTTTAATTACTACTTTATAAGGGAATCTAAAGTATGTTTGCTATCAAGTGAAACCATGTTTAGTGTAAAGGTGCATTTCCTTACGAGACACATACTTATTTAACTCATATACATCATTGTCGTTGCCAAGATGTACTAATATAAAGTCAAGCTCCATACTAGGAATAAGGAAGTGGTTGTATATAGGAACCCATCTTTGTATCCAACATCTTGAAGCATGTCCTAAGTTCGTGTATTGAGAATAAATTCATCTCCACATAGTCGGTGTAATCTACCTTCCCATCTATGTAATGTTTTCCAGGACTCTTCATCAAAATCCCATTGTGGTGGACCTTGAATGTGAAAATTATCTAACCCCCTTCAAAAGAAGTGACATATGTTAGTCGGTAGACATCCATGTCTATTATTTCACCTTTTACTCACCATACTCTTTATGAAAATCAGTTTTTTTTTATTTTTTATTTATTTATTTATTTTTTTGCAGCTTGGCCGTAAAGTCCAAATAATAAAGACCACTATGAATGCAATACTCCTCTAACCAAACGAGTTGTAGTGGATGATGATCGTTTGTGTTAATGTCTAGTTGGTTGAAAATGAAGAAGATGAAGTGGTTCTTGGGGGACAAAGGTAATGACTTTAGTACATTATTAATTGATCGTCAGGCAAAAGTGCGTAAGGAAATAACAATTTTTCACTCATGTGGAGGGCATGTTTCAAGCAATGACGAAGGAAAATTAACCTCGTCAGGCTAAAAGACCGCTGGTAGAATCTTTTGGCTCGAAAAGGACCTATGGTGCAAAAAATTGTTGAAAAGGACCTATGTTGGAATTTTCAGAGAATCACAAGGACCATTTTTGTAATTTTGTCTAAAAATATCTATCATATAAATAAAATCTTTTACTTATGATATTTTTTGCTCTAACCAATTTCCTAACTAGATTCTAAAATCGGTTGGTGTTATTTATGGGATATTATAAATGTATGATCTTGTATTTATAAACTCTCATCATGTCACTATGACATAAAGGCAATATTTTAGTAGTTTCTATATTAAAAATGACATTTTACTTACAACCATTGGTATACGTATATTGATATGAGGCTAATTCTAATCGGTTTGTTGGGTCCCTCTTTTGTTCATTTATAATTATCATGTCTATTTTACAAATTATTGTTATCAACACAAACAAAAGTAAGAATACTAGAATTCATGATTACATTATGTGGTTTGATTGGTTTCTGATTATTTTTTTGTTTTCTATCACTTTTTCCATTAGAATGGTATATATCTTAATTTTACATGCTTCTTAGGATTTATGTCTTGGATTTGAATAAAGATTGTTGTGTTGCAGATAAGTGGGTGGGCGGGAGGTGGACTTTTTTCTTGACATTGTCCTTATCGTGAAGGAGGAGGTATGACTTCTCAATTGGCGGATCTTATGAAATTATTGAAGTGAATTTTATTGAGAATTTTGAAGTTAGCAACACCAGAAAACATATTGATTGTATTATTTTGCAGGGGGATATTGTCCAAACTAGATGGTGTAGATTGGTTCCTATAAAGCTTAATGTGCTTCTTTGGCGATTCCTTCGTGATAGGATTCCGACTAGAGGAAATTTGGTGAAAAGAGGCATTGATATTCATTCTATATTATGCCCTATGTGCTCTCTTCAGAGTGAAGATTGTAGTCATACGTTTGTGAAGTGTGAAATAGCTAATCAGATTTGGGATAAGGTTTTTAAGTGGCTGGATCTTCCATTTCTGTTGTTTAATGATGTGTTGGAGTTGTTTATTTGGATTGATTCGTTGAGAATAAAGAAGAAAAAGAAAAATGTGGTAGAGGTTATTTGTATCGTGGTTATTTGGGTGTTGTAGCAATATCGGAACAGTGTTATGTTTCAAACGTTCAAGATGCGTAAGAGTCATATTTTTGAAAGTATCATTATTCATGCTTTTAATTGATTCTTTAATAAAAGTAGTAGATGTAAAATTTCTTTGTTTCAATAGTTGAAAAATCCGCGTATATAAGATTCTTTGTTATTGTTTTTTCTAGCTAGCTTCTTGCTAGTGTTGTTTTTTTTTTATAAAATTTAGCTGTTCAAAAAAAATCCATAAAAGGTTTACGGTTTGATCATCTTGTTGATTATACTATGGCTCCTTTGAAATAAGAACTATTAACATTCTCCTGCATTTTAGTGAAAAGTTAAACTAAGCATTTACCCTTATAAGGTTATGAATATGTTAGAATACATCTTTTGATGATCATAAGCATGATATAAAAGAGTATTTGAGTATTGATGAATCGAATATTTTTAATATGCACGAAATGACTTATATGCTTTTTAGACCTTAATAGACATTTTAGTAATTAATAAAACGATACATTAAAATAAAATACTAAGATCATTGAATAACAATGTTTTATTTTTCATTTGTCTTTCAAGATATAAGACTAAGACATCATACCTATATAAAACATTGCTCTCATGTCATTTATTAATTTGAAAAAGAGTAAACGGCACACTCTAATAATTCATTAATTTGTTGAAGGATATAAGCCATAATTTCATTGACATGATATATCATATCGTCTTTTTCAATCATCCATGAAAGTATATTTTTTATTTAACGTCTCAGTAATATTCAAAATTAAATATTATAACTTAATCACAAATTCATGCGACTTTAATGAAATAATTTCAACTCTACAACTATAATAAATATTATTCTTAAATTTACGGCGATTTAAAAAAACTATATTTTATTGTTTTATTTTGTTTCTTAAAATATAAAATTTGATATTAATTCGTAAGCGACAAGGTCGGCAAGCACCGGAGGAATGTTTCCACGTTAGCGTGATTGTTTCCGCTAACTGCGGGTGAACTGAGCCCACCTTCTACTTTTTCCTATTTTTTACTTAATACTAAATTACAAAAACGTCCCTGTGCTTGTGCTTATACGGTCCATGTGAAAATAATAGTAAATTACAGTTTTGGTCCCTTTGGTTTACATCAATATTTATATTTAGTTTAGTTTTTTATTTTCTTATACGGCTGTTTCTTGTGGTTTTTAAAAGTTGTTTCTTGTGGTTTTTAAAAGTTGCACTTGTGTTATTTGAGGTTGTTACAATCTCTCTCTCTCTCTCTCAACTTTGGCGCCCGTAAAACTCATTACATTCCCACTAAGTTGTCAAACCTTTGTTAAAATTTCTAAGGTTTATCATCTTTCCACTCATCCGGTAAATTGGAGTATGTAACATTCTAAAATTTTCAATAAAATTTAAAATTTTCAAATCAACCCTTTAATAAAAGAAGTGTTTACAAAAACTGTTGTTCCCAAAATATTACTTAAAAAATATAATATCTTTCAACATAGTTTTCAAAACATTCACATTATCAGAGTTCCCTATAAATCATAAGTCCAAAACGTGAGGATGTGTACAGTCACGCCTTCACCTTGCCATGATCAACTGAAGTACCTGAAACCATAAACCAAAACTGTAAGAACGAAGCTTAGTGAGTTCCCCCAAAGTACCAACACTCAAACAGATAACATATACATATAACAACATACTATGGGTCCAATCAACCATCGGGTTGGAATACCAACATACTATGGGTCCAATCAACCATTAGGTTGGAATACCCTCAACCCTCAACCATCGAGTTGGAATGCCAAAATTCTATGGGTCCAATCATCCTCAGGATGGAATACCCTCGACCCTCAACCATTGGGTTGGAATGCCCCTGCCTGTTGGCTTACGCACAAAGCAGAGAAGCCTCAGCCACCAATCAAACATGTGCTCATATAACAGATATTCATATAACGGTCTACAACCAGTCAAACAGATATAACATATATCACTAAGCATAGCATCATCCTATCTACCAGGATACCGATCTAACAGATCATAACAACATAGTAACATGTATATCAGTATACAATCCACTGGACCGACATTGGTGCCTTCGACCCGCAAGTATAGTGAGGAAAACTCACCTCGAATGCAAAAGCTCCCCGAAAGAAATCCCTAGTTGCTGGCCCGCCGACTTTCAAGCTATCAATACCAACAACACACCCAATTAGCAATTGGGTTCCATGCCATAATCCATAATCCATACTTGGGATAAAATGACCATTTTACCCCTAACCCAACATGCACCAAAACTGAGGCCCAAAACCAAAAGATCCACCAAGCTATAGTAATTGACCAATTTTCCAAGTTGGGCCCAACCCCATATGGGACTTATCCTAAGCCTATATTTTCCCTAAATACGAATCAGGTTACCACAAACACCCTTTAGGACAAACTTGGTCAAAGACATAAATCGAAAGTCAAAGTCAACGGTCCAAGTTGACCCAACTCGTTGAGTTTTCCTTCAACTCGTCGAGTTTTTCCATCAATCTGCACATATCTGGAAAAACCAAGTCAACTCACCGAGTTGACTCACCAACTCGCCGAGTTCCATTATCAAACTGAAAATGTCGGGGAAAACCGAGCCAACTCGCCAAGTTTATCGAACAAACTCACCGAGTTCGCCAGAAACCACCTCTAAACACATTAAGCACTTAATCTATGGTTGCAAAACATAGATCTGACTTCCTTGAGCCGGAAAACCACGTAAAGTTGCCAACTTTACACTCATGCATGACTAAATGAAGCTCTAAACTCAAAGAAGGCTTAATAAGGGACCTAAAGCATGAAGGAGGCCTAGAACTTGATAAAGCTTACAACTTTAAGTCCAATGAGGCCATAAAACATCCAGATCTGAAGTGATAACTGTTGGAATAGTTTCTAAGGCTGCAACTATATTAGGCAAGTATTTGATCCGATTGTGTAACACCCCCCTCTGGCACGTATCACAATATTGTCCGCTTTGGGCCACTCGGCACGAGGACTTCCCAGGGGGTCACCCATCCTGGTACTACTCCCGCCCGAGCACGCTTAACTGCATAGTTCTTATGGGATCTGTTGCCCTCACGGCTTTAAAACGCGTTCTGTACGCGTTGTGAGAGGTTATTGATCGCCCAGAGCCGACAGAAGAGTTACGCAGACAGACGCCGATCCGAGCTTGAGTTTCAGGTCGGCGACTTCGTTCTCCTGAAGGTCTCTCCTTGGAAAGGAGTGATACGATTCAGGAAGAGGGGCAAGTTGGGGCCCCGGTATATTGGGCCATTTCGTGTGATTGCAAGGGTAGGCCGGGTAGCCTATCGTTTGGAATTGCCAGCAGAGTTGGGGCAAATCCACGACACTTTTCATGTGTCGCAATTGAGGAAATGTATTGCCGATGAGTCGGCAGTAGTTCCATTAGAGGATATTCAGGTGGATGCGAGCCTGAATTATGCCGAGAGACCAGTAGCCATCAGAGATCGGAAGATCAAGGTACTGAGGAACAAGGAGGTACCTCTGGTGTTGGTTCAGTGGCAACACCGGAAGGGATCAGAGATGACCTGGGAGCCGGAGCGCGAGATGCGGGAGCAGCATCCGGAGCTATTTTCAGGGCGAGACTTCGAGGGCGAAGTCTAGTTCTAGTGGGGGAGAGTTGTAACAGCCCGGATTTCCAGGTATTTTATTGTTTTGTTTTTTTTTGGTGTTTTGAGAGGGGACTCGGCGAGTTGGAGCTCAGACTCGCCGAGTAGGGTCGCGATTCTGGACGCGGGATTCGTCTGGACTCGGCGAGTCCAGGATATGGACTCGGCGAGTCCACGCTGTTTAATGAAACCCTAATTTCTCGGGTTTGGGACCTATTTAAAGGGCCTTATGGCCTTCATTTGCACCCAACAGTCCATAGAGAGAAACCCTAGAGTGCTTTAGCGATTTGAGAGAGAAAGGAAGCATTTCTTGACATTTGTGTGTTGTTTAGCAAAGAAGAGGGAGGCTCTAGCCAAGAGGAGGCAAAGGGGACTGCTATTCGGTGGATTTGAAGCTTAGCCCTTCAATCTAAAGGTATGATTTCGGCTCATCTCCTGTTTTGTGAAGTATAATTGATTTTAGGGTTTCTTGTGACCTTGTTGAGTTGATTGGACGGCCAAATAGTCCCTTGCTAGTGATGAGACTTCGGATCTGGATCCATAGAGGTCCAGAGAGTCTCATTCATCAAGCTTTATATAGAACAATGGAGGTTATGACCTTGAGTAGTGGGATTTGTTGATGATTCTTCATATATGGTCATATAGAGGTTGTTTATGCACAAAGTCTGGAGCTTTACGTGGTGAATCATTCTAGGAAGGCCAGATCTATGAATTGTTGGAATAGATCTGACCTTAGAAGCAAGTTTGAGTGATTGCATGGCATGGACTCGCCGAGTCCGATGAGCAGACTCGGCGAGTAGCTTGAAGATTGCCTTGGACCGACCAGTGAGTGGTCCAGTCGAGTCATGGATTGACCCAGTGAGTCAGGGCGAGTTAGAGAGGGTTGTCAAGTGGTCTGAGTCGAGCTGGGACTCGCCGAGTCGTTCTTGAGACTCGGCGAGTTGAGTCGGGGTGGCCCCGCGATTCTTCCAGGTGGAACTCGTCGAGTCAGGGGGAGTACTCGACGTGTAAGAAGGGAATCCTAGAGAGTTGGTGAAAACGTCCAGACTCGCCGAGTTGCCCTCGTGCACTCGCCGAGTCCGGTCAAAGTTGACCGTTGACCGTTGACCGGAGTTGACCTGTGTTGACTTCTTAGGGATAGTCAACCTTAGAGATAAAAAGTGTTAATAAGAGACATATGATGTTATAGGAGGATTATAGCTCGGAGGATCGGGCACGAGGGATTTCAGGATTGTGAGTCATCGAGATCCGCGAGGTGAGTCTTCTCACTATACTTTACCTTGAGTAGGTAATCAGAGTTATGTGTTAGTGTATGTATGTTATGTGTATGTTATGTGTTGTACTGCATTATTTCTATGTGATTTATGATGTGCATGATTACAGAGTTGGAACCGGAAGGTTCCTAGAGTTAGAACCTGAGGGTTCACAGAGTTGGGTGCACGGACCC